CCGGCGCATGGGGGTCCCTTTTTCGGCCGTTTCGAGGAGCATCAACCTGTTTCTTCTCCGGGTGATTTCTTAGCATCAAATGTTGGTATTCCTAATATTGGTGATGATGTTGGTACTAGTAGGAGACGTCTTCGGTCTCAATTTGTGGATTTTGGGAGTGATAGTGAAGAATCGCTTAAGTCGAGTTCTTCTAATGAGTCCGATGGATCCGAGAGTGATGTAATTCCGGATGGAGATGTGGGAGATGGTGATGACATTCCAGGCGAAGATGTCATTATAGACAAAAATAGAGGGAAGAAAATAAAACCACTTAATTTGAGTTTGGTGGATTATGATACTTCGTTAACCGAATCTCAATTTGGTATTCTTCGTAAGCTAGTTGGGGCTCCGAGGAATATTGAGATGCTCTTGCCTAAAAAAGGTGAACGATTGTATGCACCCCCTGTAGGGTTCCACACCCAATACGTCGCATATTTGACATGTTCTTCGCAGATTGTGCCTGACTCAACTCTTTTGAAGATATGCGAGGAATTTCGGGTAGGATATAGTCAATTAACTCCGAACTTTATTCTCACGTTCGAAGCGTTTCGACGAAGAATGAGCGAAGTAGGATTACCGATTAGTGTTGAGATGTTCAAGGCATTGTTTACCCTGCATCGTTCAAGTGATTTACCCTTCTTCTGTACACATCCTCGGGTTCCTTTCAGATTTTTGAAGGGGATTAAATTGAAGTGGGACAAATGGAGTACTTTATTTTTTTATGTAAGGGCTCCGACGTCCGATGTTCCCCTTGTTTGGAATCCGGTATGCGAATCTTTTAAGATAATGAAGAATATGAAGAAACGTATTAAGGAGTCGAGGTTGTGTGCTTTGGAGTTCGATCCGAGTTGTCTTATTCCAAAGGGTCAGGCGCCTACACCGTTGCGTGTGGTCTACACGTTTTATGCCTATGTGCCTTATTTTGTCTTGTCTCTGCTATTCTATTTTATCCATCTGTGAGTTAATGGTTTTTTTTTTTTTTTTTTTTTTTTTAGATGAGTGTATTGATTTCGCGGCTCTTCGGAAGAAGGCTACTGGAGGTGCGAAAAAGCAAGCGAGGAGGGACCCCTTGAAGCAATCGAATTCAAGTAGTAGCAAATCGCGCGGAGTGACCCGCGTGGAGGTCCCGCATGTGAGTGGAGATGATCGTAATCATAGTGTTGAGGGGGATGAGTTGGATCGAGTGGTTAATAATGGGAAGGATGAGTTGGTTGAGATCGAGTATGTGCCTGCACCGAAACGGCCTCGAGTGGATCCTGAGGTTTCTCATGTGCCTCCAGGGGGTGCAGGCAAATGCCTGTTCACGTTCGGGGTAAACCGAGAGGGGAAGGATTCCTTTTGGGATACGACCGATCATACTATCGCGCTGAAGAAGACTGAGGGTTTCGTTGGGGAGTACGACCGAAGTCGGATGTCGGGTAAAGGTCGTGCTCATATGCTTTCGTTGGCTGGAGGAGACATGTGTCGGGTAAATATTTGTTTAATTTAATATGTTTTCGTTTTAGATTATAAGTCTCCATAATCTAATATTATCTGTTTGAATTTTGATATAGCTTATAGCTACGTGGAGGTATCTAGTGGAGCAGGAGGAGCAAGTCGAAAAGACCAATGATGAGGAGCGTGCCGGTTGGGAGACAAGGGAGAAAGAGCTAAAGGCTCAATTGGAGGTTGCGGAATCCAAATTAGAGGTGGCCGAGACTTTGCTCATTCAGCGGACCGATGAATTGGAGATTAGTAGGAGCGAGACCGAGGCGAGTAAAAATGAACTAATGAAACTAGATCGGTGCTATGACGAGCTGAAGGAGAAGTATGATACCGAGAAGTTTACGGGGAAGAGGTTTATGGCGTCCTCAGCTGGAGCTGCCTACAAGGAGTCGGTTATGTTAGAGGGGGAACGTCGCTTTCAGAAGAGTGACATATGTCGAGCTATGATCGAAGAAAGAGCGATAACTGGGGTTTATGCTCCGTTGGTTAGGACGTGTCGTCAATACTTACGCAAGGTTGGTGGAATTGACGAGAAGATTATTCGAGGTATGGAGGAGGACATTCCCGATGAGGGAGAGGATATCGATGCTGAGTGCACTGAAATAGCCTCGTATGCGGAAGCGGATGACCGGACTACCGAAGCTACTTCGGCTCGTAAAGTGTAGTTTGGTGTGATGTTATATTTACTTTCCTTAGGAAAAGACTTGGTTTGTTTTTTTTTTTATTAAGTGGGTATGTCCACTAGTATTTTTGCATGCTTCATTCATGACTTTATATTTGTTTGCACCTTGAGACGTTGATTTTACTGTCAAAGTTATTGTTCTTTTTTATTTATTGATTTCGCACTGATGTTTTGCATATAGCATTGTTCGCAACGTACTTGAGGAGGGGATCAATCTCTCAAGATTTTTTATTTTTATGTTTGGGATCATGCCCTTTGTTTCGGACCTCGTAGGTCGTAATATTTTTTAGACCATGGCCACGTTTTAAGCATGAGGACCCTGGAAATCAAAATAGAGAGACTCAGATAATCCAGCTGGCCAGGCTATATGGACTATCTTAATTTCTCTAAGTGTTTTTACGGTTGAAGTGATATGAACCCGTCGTAACGGTTAAGCAGTATATGAACAATAACTTTGAGAGTAAAGTAAAAACTTGATTTAATCATTAATAAGAAATGTGAATTGTCATAAGCTTCCGTGAGGCGAAGGGAAATAACTTGTAAAAAACAAATAAATCGAAATATTGAAAAGTAATCTATGTGACTATAAGAGACTTTATTCTTCTTCCACGTCTTCCTTGTGCTCATCCGTGCTTGGTGTATGGATAGTATGTCTACTTTCTTTGGTGTCTCTATGCCTGAAAAGTATCGGGGTAAAAAAAAAATTCAAGTACTTGTATTGAAGACTTAATAGTTTCATAAGTTGGAGTGATGCGTATTTGGGATCACGTACTCAATATTGGGACTTTTTTTGTTCCTCGCATTCCGAGATATGAGAACAACTCATGAGTTGTGGTGGATTGCTGCGCGACCCTGCCTGTCAAAGGAGATGGCGTTATTGTTTAGTATAGAGACCCACTAATGTGCTTGTGATATGACTTAGTAAAAGTGGTGTTACCCTTAGTGAGATAGTACGGAGTATCTTCTCTCTTTGGGTGAATGGTGGTCGGTAGGCATCCTCTCGTAATTGGCTCTTAATCTGTAAGAAGATGATGAGACGTGTTATGGAAGGTTGATGTAGATAATATCACTAGCCCCCCAGTTTGGGAGGGATGTTTACACACCTCGTTATGGAGTCCCTTCTCGAGCTTTTAGAGACATTTTTGCATGAAGAGAGACGTGGAAGGTTGTGAAGCCTGCAAGGCGACTTTCGTATGAGGAAGATGTAGATGCAAACTTAAACAAATTTGATTTAAGATGGATGTATACCTCAAGCGTAGAACCTTTTGAGATTCCTATATTCCAGGTTCTGGGTATAGGGTGTCCGTCGAGGTTCTCGAGACGATATGCTCCATTGTTAACCACTTGTGTGATTTTATATGGTCCTTCCCACTTCGGGTCGAGTTTACTGATTGGGCGTGAGGCTTCGGCTTTGCGGAGAACTAAATCTCCTACTTGGAAAGAGCGAGGGCGGACTTTGGAGTTATACACTTTCGCCATGCGACTCTTGTACATTTGCTGTCTGATGGATGCAATCTCTCTTAGCTCGTCGACGAGATCGAGGTTAGCCCTCATTGCTTCTTCATTTTCCTCTGGTGAATAATTGATGACTCTCCAAGAGGGTTCGCCAATCTCTACGGGTGCTACAGCCTCTGTTCCAAAAGCTAGGTTAAATGGAGATTCTCATGTTGCTGTTCGTGGGGTTGTTCGATATGCCCACAGAGCATTGGGTAATTCTTCAACCCACTTTCCCTTGGCACTTCCAAACCTTGTCTTGAGATGTTGAAGTATCGTGCGATTGGTTACTTCAGTTTGACCATTTGCTTGGGGGTTTGCAACCGAAGTGAAGAATTGCTTAATAGATAAGCCAAGGCACCAACTCTTGACTTTGTCTCCACAAAATTGTGTTCCATTGTCCGAAATAATGGAACGGGGAATGCCGAAGCGGCACACAATGTTTTTCCAAAGGAATTGGATGACGTCTTCTTATCGAATGCGAGCTAAAGGTTCTGCTTCTACCCACTTGGTGAAGTAATCTACAGCTACAATGAGGAACTTGCGTCCTCCTGTTGCTGGTGGAAAAGGACCGACCAAGTCAACTCCCCATTGAGCGAAAGGTATGGGACTGTCAATCGGTTGCATCAATGCTGCGGGGAGATGAAGGATGTTAGCGTGTTCTTGGCAAGGCTTGCATCTCTGCACTAGTTTTTTCGCATCTTCATGCATGGTGGGCCAATAGTAACCTTGTCTCAATATTTTGAGAGCTAAGTTTCTTCCACTTAAATGATTACCACAAATGCCTTCATGTACTTCCCGAAGCACATAGTCTGCTGCTGATGGGTTAAGGCATTTAAGATAGGGGGAAGAGAACCCTCGCTTGTAGAGATCTTCACCTATCATTAGGAAACGGGCCGCCCTTACCTTTATTTTCTTCGCTTGGGCGATGTCAGTCGGAAGTTCCCCGCTTTTGAGATAGTTTGTAATGGGGGTGATCCAACAGGGTTCGCTCTCTTCAGCGCAATTCACTCCGTCGGTGGAGACTATTTCTGGTTGGGAAGCCGTGAGGAGGGTGATTTTCCGGCTTCCAATGCTTGCCATGGAACTACCAAGTCTAGCCAACTTGTCTGCATCAATATTGTTGGCTCGTGGTACTTGCTTTATCTCGTAGCTATCCAATTTTGAGAGGAGGGTAAGTGCAAGAGCAAGGTACTTTGCCATGGATTCTTCTTTGGCTTCATAGTTCCCAAGGACTTGGTTGACCACCAACTGGGAGTCGCTGTGTACTATGAGTTTGCGAGCTCCAGCTGCTAAAGCGAGGCGGATACCAGCGATCAAAGCTTCATACTCGGCTTCGTTATTGGAGGCCTTTGAAATCAAACCGTTTAGCATACTCGAATTCATCGCCATCTGGGCTTGTTAATACAATACCCGCGCCTCCTCCTGTAGCGGTAGATGATCCATCGACATTGATGGCCCAAGTGGGTATGGATGTGCTCTCTTCCGATGTAGTCATCTCTACTACAAAGTCTGCTAGGATTTGAGCTTTGATGGCTGGGCGTGGTTTGAACTCAACCCCATATTCACTTAGCTCTATAGCCCATTTAGCTAATCGTCCGGAAGTCTCGGGACTTCTCAATATTTGTTTAAGGGGATAGTTGGTGAGAACTATCACCTGGTGCGACTGGAAGTACGGACGTAACTTTCTGGCTGCATTGATGAGCGCGAGAGCAAGTTTCTCCATATTGGTGTAACGGTGCTCTGGGCCTTGGAGAGCTCGGCTTATGTAATATATCGGTTGGTGACCTTTTTCACCATCCCGAATGAGCACTGCGCTAATGGCATCAGCAGAAATAGCCAAATATAGGAAGAGAGTATCTCCTGGCTGGGGCTTCGTTAGTAGAGGTGGGGAAGTGAGATATGCTTTCAATTCTGTGAAAGCTCTTTGGCAGTCTTCATTCCACTCAAATTTTTTCCCACCTCTTAGTATCTTGAAGAAAGGAAGACCCTTATCAGCCGATCGGGATATAAATCGGTTTAGGGCTGCCAAACAACCATTAAGTTGTTGGACCTTCTTAATCGAAGTGGGAGGGGCCATGGAGGTGATAGCTTCAATCTTTGCTGGGTTGGCTTCAATTCCCCGCTGTGATATCATGTATCCTAAGAATTTTCCGCCTCGAACTCCAAACGAACATTTTAGGGGATTGAGCTTCATCTTGTATTTACGTAAGATGGAGAAGCATTGACTTAAATCGGTTAAGTGATCCGCGACTTTAATACTCTTGACGAGCATGTCATCAATGTATACTTACATGTTCTTACCAATCAAGTCTGCAAACATCGTGTTTACCAGGCGTTGGTAAGTAGCTCCTGCATTCTTGAGACCGAACGGCATGACTCGATAGCAGTAGATGCCTTGGTATGTAATAAAACTAGCTCTCTCTTGGTCTTCTGGGGCGAGCAATATTTGATTGTATCCTTGATATGCATCGAGGAAGCTGAGAAGTTCGCACCCTGAGGTTGAGTCTATGAGTTGGTCGATCCTTGGTAAGGGGAATGGATCTTTCGGGCATGCCTTGTTGAGGTCGGTGAAGTCTACACACAGCCTCCACTTGCCTCCGGGTTTAGGTACTAATACCACATTGGATAACCACTCGGGATACTGAACCGATCTAATGTGGCCTGCATCTAAGAGTTTTGCCACTTCCTCTTTGATATGTTTGTTGCGCTCAGGACCGAAAGTCCTCTTACGTTGCTTGATCGGTTTCAATCTTTTGTCAACGTTTAGTCGATGCAATGCCACTTTAGGAGGAATTTCCGTCAGATCTTGAGCTTTCCAAGCAAATACGTCCCCATTATGTCTAAGGAAGTTAACTAGCTGATTTTCCACTTCTTGATCTAGATCAGAGCCGATGCGGAGAAGCTTAGAATTATCTCCGGGCATGAGTTCTACTGATTTTAGCTCTTCGACCGCGGCTAGCTTGGTGGTGTCGTCGGGTACGCTGATTAGGATTTCTTTATCAGCTTCGATGACTGCGTTGACCCATTTTCGCTTATCTTGTCTCGGGGTGTCGTCTCCTTTCCCTAAAGGATTAGGTCTCTTAGATGGCTCACGTAGAGCTCTTGCATAACATTCTCGAGCGAGACGCCTATCTCCTAGTACCTCTCCCATTCCATAAGGAGTGGGGAATTTCCACTTTTGGTGGTAAGATGAAGGCACAGACTTGAATGTATGGATCGCTGGCCTTCCTAAGATGATGTTATAAGGGGATGGTTTGTCGACGATAAGGAATTTTATCATTTTCGTTACTCGACAAGGATTTTCCCCTAAGGAGATGGGTAACTCTACTTCCCCCATGGACAAAACACCCTCTCCCGTGAATCCTTTAAGTGGTGTAGTGATGGGACTGAACCGGGCGTTATCTATGCCCAGCTGCTTGAATGTGTGGAGATACATAATGTCGGCTGAGCTCCCACCGTCCACTAATATCTTCTTGACTAAGAAGTTGGCCACCGCTGCAGTTATCACCAACGCATCGACATGATCTTTATCTGGTCCTTCAAGGTCTGAGGAGTTGAAGACTATGCCATGATCAGGTCTTCGTATTTGATAGATAGATGCGGATGGAGAAGCATGTTCTTGATTCATACGTGCCGATCGAGCGAGGGTGCGTCTCGCATTTTGTGAGTCGCCACCTGCTGGTCCTCCGGAGATAAAGGAGATGATTCCCCGAGTGGGTTGGTTATCATTGTTATCTGGGTCGCGCCGATGACCCCCATCCTCTCGTCGTTGTTGTTGATCTCGACTGTTATCTCGGCGTGGAAGATCATCACGACGCTTATTTCGAGGCTTATCAATATATTCGCTTAAGTGGCCTTGCTTGATCAACCTCTCAATCGCCAATTTGAGTTGCGCACATTCCTCGGTAGTATGCCCTTTATCTTTGTGGAATCGACAATAGCGATCCGATTTTTCTCGTTTCGCATTGGGTTGCATTGGGCGTGGAGGCTCTGCCAGACCTTTTTGTTCAATCACATGAAGTATTTCGGTGAGGCGAGTATTGAGTGGAGTGAATCGATTATAAGTTGAAGATGATTGGCCTTGAGGCGGGGGTGGAGGACGTCGATCATCTCGTCTCCTAATGTCAGGGCGATCATCTTCTCTCTTCCTCTTGGGATGAGCATTGGCAGAAGCTTCTTCTATGCGTATATATTTTTCAGCTCGATTTAACAACTCATCTAAGTTGTCAGGAGGTCTTCCTGCGATAGATTCTTTGAACCTGCCCGACTTTAGGTTTTGCTGCATAATCCCTGAGAGCATATCTTGTCCTACATTGGGAACTTCATGAACAGCTTCCACAAAACGCCTGATGTAGTTGCGGAGTGTTTCATTGTCTCTCTGTACGATAGAGAAGAGATGTGCTGGAGTTTTAGCATATTGCTTATTGATGGCGAATTGGTTGGTGAAACGCAATGACAACTGAGCGAAAGTGTCAATTGATCCTGTGGGTTGAGCGTTGAACCAATTCATGGCTCTCTTGGATAGAGTGGTGCGAAACATCTTGCACATTGCTGCATCTGTCGGGCCATATAGGTCTGCCATAGCGTGGAACTTCTCTATGTGTTCATGCGGGTCGGTAGTTCCTTCGAACTGAGGTAAGCCCGATACTTTCACTCCTTGAGGCAATACCTCGTAGAGGATGTTTAGGGTGAAAGGACTGCGCCTTGTTGGGACTGGCACTCTTCCGTCGATTGGGTTGTTCAATCTGGGGAACTGGTTTTGGCGAGATACTCTACTATTTATCTCGTCTTCCCCTTCATTAAAGATATGAACTCTTCGTGGAGACGCATCACCCCGTTGGAGTGAATGGTGGCGTCGCTGTCTGGGTTGTGGCTCCCTGTGATTGGTAGATAGCTGCATCCGGGATCGTGGATCTGAGGTGGATGAGGATACACTTATCCGTTCGTCATTGTTCTGGGTTGGTTGCTGTACCCTGGGTGGCATTGCGGGTGGAGCATTAGCTGGGATCGCGGGGGGAGCGTTTGTTGCCATCGTGGCAATGTATTGCGCCACCGCATCAGTGGCGGCGCGAGTGGAAGCTTCTGTTATCATTCGTTGGAGTGCCTCCTCGGTTATTTGAACCGTTCGGGAAGCAGGTAGAGGTGGAGCCTGTAGTGGAGGATCGGCGAGTGGTGGGTCCCGAGGGGGAATCACCTGAACCTCGCGTGGTGGATCCGGAGCACGTGGAGGAGGTGGCAAGCCAGAGCCTCCTCGAACTGGGAGGTTGTTAGCTGTGTCATTCTCTCTCCGAGTGGACTCAGGAGGATCTTGCAGGCTACGTGATATGGTTTGCATTCCCACAGACGGCGCCATTATGATGATGTAATAAATAAATCACCTGGAGTGTTGAAGCTGGGAGAGCAAAGTAGGTCACGTGCTCACGAGCTAGATAGTCCTGAAAACTCTAATTTACTCAAGGATCCTGCGAACAAATAACACGTAATCTAAGCCGGGGGTTGATCCGGCGGAAACCCCTCCGACGCTCAAGTCAGACGTGCGGATAATCAATAATAGCCGAGAGAATTTTCGTAGAGGGAGTGATTGAATAAAAAATGCGTACCTTCATTAAATGAATTTAAGTTCTATTTATACTTTATTGATTGGGTCGAGACAATTTATCGGGCCCAACCTTATTTGGGTTTGATTGGGTCTTGATTGGGCCTCTGTAGAAATAACTATTAAGTTGGGCATGTGGTCCAGTAAATGTGGGCTATTGGGCTAGGCCAATAGGCATATCAAATATGTTAAGATGTTGTGTCGGGAAAATTACACTTTATGTCCATAAAATTTACCACTAAAATGATTTATGTCCTCAAATATTTCAATTCACGAAATATGACCTCAAACTTGCCACTTTTGATCAATTTATGTTCTGCCGTTGATGTTGTCAGCCAACTTCGACGGAAATAGCATATGTGGCTCTCGTGACATCTACCTGGCCGTTAAATATGACGTGGAATAGCTACCTACATCGATATGGCGAAATAAAAAGACGTGGAGAGTGCCACGTAACTCTCTTCCTCTATTCTGAACAACACTCACATTTCATTACACCCAAATATATTGAAACAAAAAACAGAAATCTTACCCCCAAATTACCTATAGGAAGCTTAAAATTGAGGTGAGATTTCGCAACAACAAGATTGCCCACCCCTAATTTCGCAGAGTTTCAAACATTTCTGGAGCTAGGACATCATAATCAAGCAACAATTTCTGATTTTGAGTAAGTTTCTTCAATGTTGATATCTTTCCACTTCGATTTTGGGATTTTGGGAGGTGTGAGGTAGTTTTGATTTCACCCAAAGCTGCGGCGAATTGAAGGGAAGAACTCTTGCAATGTGAGAAAGTCTGGATTTTTTATGGGTTTATGACTTCGAGTTTGGCATGGGTTCGACCAATAATGCAGATTGGATTGGAAATTTGGGAGTGGGTTTATGAGATGAATCGTGAAGTGTGATTTGGGAGAGTGAGGTAGAAATGTGAGGGAAAATTAGTACATTTGTTTGCCAGGTCAACATTTCAATGCCATTTGTTATTCCACGTCACATTTAAAGGCCAGATAGACGTCACGCGAGCCACACGTGCTATTTCCGTCCAAGTTAGCTGACGATGTAACGACATAACATAAATTAATCAAAAGTGACAAGTTCGAGGACATATTTCGTGGTTTGAAATATTTGAGGACCTAAATCGTTTTAGTAGTAAAGTTTAGGGACATAAAATGTAATTTTCCCATGTTGTGTACATACATGTCTTTTTTTTTTTTTTTTTTATATTCATTTTCAGGCTGATTTGGAGCGACTTTATGATGAGACCATGCGTGATGGAAGTGGCGAAAGCACAACCAACTCAACTACGATTGGAAAAGTTCTCGGAAAGAGCAAAGGACTTCAAATTAAAAGTACAACCACAAGGACTGGAAAGTCGAGATTTTTTTCAACTCCACCGGAAGTGGAGATCCAAATGAAGTCAATGCAAGAGCAAGTCAACGTAAAGATGAAAAATTGGATCGATTGGAAGTGCAGTTGCATGAAACTCGAGAAATTCTGAACACCTTGATTGAGCGTTTTAGACAACAAGGATTACAAGCCTCA